CGTTAGGCGGGTCGGTCAGTCATGCTCAATATATATAAATTAGTAGTTTTACTATCAAATATCATGTTTTTATTTATATTGTTTATTAAATTATGACATTTTGTAATGTGAATATGCATGATTATGTAAAAAAGAATGTTTCAGTCTAATGGTTTATACCGAAATATTAACTGATGAATATCAAAAGGTTCTTTGGTTATTCTTTCTATACAAATTAGTGTGTAGTCAGTGCGATGCACGGGTAAATAACATTAACTAATAATTATAAATTAAATATGAGGATAAACAATATTAACTAATAATTGTAATTAAGATGTGGAGTTAATATGTGACATAATTTATCGTATATAATATAAAATTATCTTGTATAAAATAACATAAAAATTGTATGTTTAAAACATTAAAAACACTAAAATATTATATAATGTATGTAAAGTATCTAAAATTTTATATATCCTTATTGAAAGATGCGAAGTCACCTAAATTTTTTCTAAACTATTTTATAAATAAAACAGTTCAAAATTATTTAAAAAAATCTTACCTACAATATATTATTCAATTTTCAAAAGATGATGATAAGTATAAGTTTGAATTTTAGAATTCACGTGAGTATTAATTTTTAGATCCGTGTACTATACAAATTATTCATTATGTTAATTTTTTGTGAACTTCATATTGATTTATTGATTCAATTATATTTCCATACAAAGTTGATCTTCTCATTTTTCTTACCATATTTTCGTGGAGATTTAACAAATTCGATTGCATTTATAAAATGATTTGGATATCAACATACAATTTAATGGAGTTTTCAAAATTGTGTACTATTAATAAATAATATATTATCATTAAGTATATTTTCTTAAATGCACAATTATTGAGACTGAGAATTTGAAAATTGTTTACCTTTTGAAACAGAGTACAAAAGAACAATAGATTGACAAAAAAAGAATCGATAAACATTACCAAGTTTATTATCACACGTTCCAAATAAAAATATTGTGATGATTAGTGGAAAATGATATTTAAAGAATAACATTCAATATTTTTTTTTTTTGAAAGGCATAAATATAAAGACCGATATTCTAAAATTTTTATTACCTTTTGAATTGAGATTTTATAAATATAGAGATTTAGATTTAATGTTATTCGTTGTTTCTATTAAAAAAGATAAAAATAAAAAATACACACTTAATAGATCTTAGCTGGATATTTAAATTACAAAATGAATTAAAGCCCAAAATTTAATGCAATATTTAATGTTATATAGTTTTTTAAAGATAAAAATAAAAAATAATAAACTTACTATTTATTGGTTGTATTAAATTCTCTCCTATTTTTTTGCTACTATTTTTGTTAAATAGTAATTCTTAACAAATATATATATATATATATATATATAATAAGAATTACCATTTACCAAAAATAGTAGCAAAAAATAGGTCAGAATTTAATGCAGTCTACAAATAGTAAGTTTTATTGTTTTTTTTTATTTTTTCTTTAAAAATCATACAACATTAAATGCTACATTAAATTTCGGGCTTTAGTTCATTTTATTGTTTAAAAAATCCAGCTAAGAATTATTAAGTGTGTATGTTTTTATTTTTATTTTTTCCTTAGAAACAACGAACAATTAAAATCTCTGTCTCTATATTTATAATATCTCAATTTAAAATATAACAAAAGTTTTAGAATCTCGGTCTTTATATTTGTGCCTTTAAAAAAAATATTGAACGCTAGAATATTCTTTAAATTGCATACTCAATCAATTAATCTTAATTTTTTTTAAAATTACTATGTTTATTTTTTATTAATATGCATAAAGTAAAAATAATAAATTCATCTTTAGATATATAATTTATAATCTTAATATACTATCATTTCGTTTAGACATTTATTATATGAATCATAAAATATTTTTATTTCATAAAATTAAATATATTTAAAGAAAATAAGAAAATTTCTTCGGATCAATCGGGTGATTGAATTAGGGTACTACCCAAGTTGATTTAATTAATTTTAGGTGATATTTAAAATAGTAAAAAAAAATTGACACAACTTGGTTGGTCCCCAGTGACTAAGTTATGTGTCAGTTCGACCACACCAAATTGATTATTGTACCTAAATAAAATATATATATTCTTTTATTAATATTTATGTGAATTAAATAATAATTTATTTTAATATTTGTTAATGTACAGTAAATATAAGATTTTCAGAGCTGTACCTTCATCGAAACGATCAAGCTATTTTATTAAATCATTTGTGGTTTGCTCAGATTTTAATTTATAAACATTTTAATTGACATATATATAGTACTTTTTGTAATAAATTCAAATAAAATGTGTTACTTAAATATCTAAATAATTTATAAATTTAAATGTTTAAACTAATTGATAAATAATTTATAAATCTCTATTTTATTTAAATATGTAATTTTATTTAAAATAATTTTAAATATAACAAAATTTATTTAGAAAATCGTATCGATCCTACCAATCCAACCGACTGGTGTTGACGGATTCGAGAGCAAATATTTTATTCAAGCGAACTAGACTGGTTATAAACCAGTTCTCGGTCCATCCTTTCGGACTGTGTCCAACCCGATTTAATTTAATATATAATACAATCGTAATATTGTTTTCCCGTGCATCGCACGGGCCACGCACTAGTATATATATGTATATATATATATATATATATATATATGTGTGTTAATTTAAGGTATTGAAATATTGATTTGTGTCTGTCATTGGTTACCAAATCAATTTATAGTATTTTTTCAACAAATATGCACATTTATGAAATGTCAAATTTTTAGTTATATTATCTTTAAAATGTAGTTGTTTCAATAAAGAAAAAATATGACTATTGTGGTTTCTTTAGTTTGATTTTTACATTTTGCCTATTAGCTTATATAACTTTGTGCAATCATACATCTCATTATCTACTATACTTTTGTCCCTTTGTTTTTTTGGTTTTTCTTTTTTTCTTTTTTTTTTTTTTTT